TCCCAGATACTTCATGGTGGACTCGACAGCTATCCGGGCCCCGCTGACCACGATGTGTGAACCCGGCGGCGGCGCGCGTCGAGGGCCATGGAACACCATGGCCTCCGACTTACTTAGGGCTACCTCCAGGCCCAGGCGCCGGATGCGGTTCACCACTTGTGACACCGCAGCCGTGGCAACCAACGCTGCTTCCCTGTACGAACTCCCCCGGGCAGTGACGAGCGTGTCGTCCGCATAACACGTCAAGTCGGCGCCCGACGGGAGTTCACCTCTCAGCACCCAGTCGTAGCCGATGTTCCACAGGAGCGGTCCCAAGACCGATCCCTGCGGAACACCGCACGACATGACGCGCCGACCAGCGCCGTCACGTCCCCAATAGGTAACGCATCTCTCCTCAAGGTAAGCCCCTATTGTGCGGCGGAGGTAGGGAGGCACGCGATGGTAATTCAGCGCCTCCCGAATGCAACTCCAGGGTAGGGTGTTGAAAGCGTTGGAGATGTCTAAGGACACCGCCAGCACCACCCCACCCCGGGATACTGTCTCCTCCGCCAGGGCCCTCACGTGCGTAATAGCGTCTATGGTGGAGCGCCCACGACGAAAACCGTACTGGTTGTCATCCAGGTCCGGCCCCTCTCTGCACAAGTGGCTGACGAGGCAACCTAACCTAACCTAACCTAACCTAACCTAACCTAACCTAACCTTTTTTTTTTTTTTTTTTTTTTTTTTTACGGGGGGAAATCCTCATGGACTACCTCCGCCTGGGGAAAGGCGGAGGGGCGTGCCGGACTCTTACCGGCTAAAACCACCCCGGTGTCTCCTCACACGTGCGCGTGGGGCCGCGGGAATCCAAATTCTTCCGCAGCCCCACACTAGTGCTGGCCCGGTCCGTCCGGGCCTCGTCTCCTGCACGGGGTAGTGAGGTGTTAAACTACCCCGTGTATCGCCTCAGGGGCGCGCGCCGACACCCGCGCGCGCCTCCGCCTCGGGTCCATCGAGTAGGGGTGGCGGGGGCTTCCCCAAAACCCTCGCCCCTGGACCCATTTATGGGGGCCGGAAAAGGGCGTTGTCCGCCCTTCTCCTGCGCCCGGTGCGCCTTCTGCGGCCAGGGAAGGGAGTCGAGATCTCCCTTTCCCGTTCCGCAGTTTCCTTCTGCGACATCACGTCCTCGCAGAAGGACACCACCGCATCCCACGACTCTGCGCTACCGACCATCTTCCGCACTAAGGCCGGCAGCGACAGATCGCCTCCTACTTTATTTGTGAGGACACGGCGCTGCTCCTCCCAAGCTACACACTCGGCGAGCGTGTGTTGCGCCGTGTCCTCCCCGCAATGGACGCAGTGGTGGCACCGAGCGTCCGGCTCCCTGTCTATGCGGCGCAGGTACTTGCCGAAGCAGCCATGCCCCGACAGCACCTGCGTCACCCTAAACGACAGGGAGCCGTGCCTTCTCCCGAGCCAGTCGTCGAGTACTGGCCGGATCGCCTCGACGGTAGCGAGGCCGGCGGTAGGGCGCAGAAGCCTTTGCCGCCATTCCGCCACCAAGACCTGACGGAGCTCCTCTCGGCGCAGCGCGATCTGCCGCTGCACCGGCCTCGAGCCCCGTGCCCGCTCTTCCTCGCGCCATCGATATAATGACGCGAGTACTTTCGCCTCTAGGTCCCAGGGCGGGGATCCGGCCAGGACGCAAGCCGCCTCGTAGGAAATCGTGCGATACCCGCGGACGACTCTGACGGCCATCGCCCTCTGCGGTTTACGCAGAATGGCGAGAGTGCTGGCCGTCATGTCCATCGCCCACACAGGGGCCCCATACAGGGCCATGGACCGCACGATTCCCACGTACAACCGCCTACAGGCGGCGCTCGGGCCCCCCAAGTTGGGAAGCAACGTTGATAGCGCGCCCGCTGCACCCATCAGCTTGGGCGCCAGCCGCCGGAAGTGGGGTCCGAATTCCCATCGGCTGTCGAGCACCAATCCCAGATACTTCATGGTGGACTCGACAGCTATCCGGGCCCCGCTGACCACGATGTGTGAACCCGGCGGCGGCGCGCGTCGAGGGCCATGGAACACCATGGCCTCCGACTTACTTAGGGCCACCTCCAGGCCCAGGCACCGGATGCGGTTCACCACTTGTGACACCGCAGCCGTGGCAACCAACGCTGCTTCCCTGTACGAACTCCCCCGGGCAGTGACGAGCGTGTCGTCCGCATAACACGTCAAGTCGGCGCCCGACGGGAGTTCACCTCTCAGCACCCAGTCGTAGCCGATGTTCCACAGGAGCGGTCCCAAGACCGATCCCTGCGGAACACCGCACGACATGACGCGCCGACCAGCGCCGTCACGTCCCCAATAGGTAACGCATCTCTCCTCAAGGTAAGCCCCTATTGTGCGGCGGAGGTAGGGAGGCACGCGATGGTAATTCAGCGCCTCCCGAATGCAGCTCCAGGGTAGGGTGTTGAAAGCGTTGGAGATGTCTAAGGACACCGCCAGCACCACCCCACCCCGGGATACTGTCTCCTCCGCCAGGGCCCTCACGCGCGTAATAGCGTCTATGGTGGAGCGCCCGCGACGAAAACCAAACTGGTTGTCATCCAGGTCCGGCCCCTCTCTGCACAAGTGGCTGACGAGGCGATCTGCGATGATACGCTCAAAAAGTTTGCCCGCCTCGTCGAGCAGCACTATGGGCCGGTACGCGGACGGTGAGTCCGCGGGGCGCCCCTCCTTCCTGAGCAGGACCAGCCTCCCCTCCTTCCACACACTGGGAAACTGACCCTGCTCGAGACATGCCGTGAAGAGCCCTCTCAGCTGGGGCTCTAGCTCCTTCAGAGCCAGGACGAGAGCTCGACCAGGAACTCCGTCGGGTCCGGGCGCTGTGTTCTTAGCCCGGAGTCGCGACACGGCCACTCTCGTCTCTGCTTGCGTCACCTCGGGGACATCGGTGCTCTCCTCTTCTGGAGAGTCTGTGGCTGAGGGCGAAGCCATCGCCGGGGGAACGTGTCCCACTCGCTCAGGGAAGAGAGTCGATAACACCGACTCTAGCAACTGGGGTTGCATCCTTTGTGTTAGTGGAGGCGCCCAGGGACGCAACTTGCCCCGAATCCAACGGTAGGGGCGCCCCCACGGATCCCGATCTAGGGACCCCAGCAGCTCCTCCCTGGCACGCGACTTTGAGTCGCCGATGGCCAGCCACAGAGTCTCCTTAGACGCGCGGTACACCTCATACAGCGCGTCCTCCTCGGCGGAATCCCGTCGACGCCGCCTCCGGTATCGGGTGTACCGGCGACGAGCCGCAACGCACGCTATGCGCAATTGCGCAACCTAACCTAACCTAACCTAACCTTTTTTTTTTTTTTTTTTTTTTTTACATGGGGAAATGCCTACGCATACCCGCCTCGCGGGGGCAAGGACGGGTTATGTCGGACTCGCACCGACTAAAACCCCATGGTGTTCCACCCTCGTCGCATATTGGCAGGGCCACGGGAACGCTTTCGCACACTTCCGCGGCCCCACCTGCGCTGGCCGCCCCATGGCGGCCCCTCCTCGGGAGAGGACCACTCCTCCCCCATCTCCCTCTCAGGTAGGGCGCACCAGAACACATGGCGTGCCCTCCTCCTCGGCCTCCAATTTCACATGCGCAACGGACGCCCCCGTGTCCGATGCGCGAAGGCCATGGGGCCAGGAAAAACTAGCACTCAGAAGCACCAGCCTTCCTAACCCCAGCGGCGGATCTGGTCTATGGCTCCGCCGCCAACCAAGATTCGGCTGCGGAGGGTAGGGAGAGCGGCGCCTCGCAATACCGACACTCCTCTCCCCCCGCAGCCCCACCATCACCGCATCACTCAACGGTGCGGCCCCGTCTGAGTCGCAGAGGATAGGGCGAGTGGCGCATCGCCATACCAGCACGCCTCCTCCTCCGCGACTCCACCTCGGCTGCAGCGATAGAGGGCGCGGACACCCCTCTCGCAGCATCCCACCGACACACATCCGAAGTGGGCTTCCCAAGCCCACTCGGAGTGGCCACCTCGGGCCGGCCCTACACCACGGGCCAGCCAAGGGGTTCCTCTTTGTTCACCGTGGTCGACCAAGCCACGGCTACTAAGCCCCCCCGCCACGACAAGGCGGGAACCCGTTCGGGGGGGAACCTAACCTAACCTAACCTAACCTAACCTAACCTAACCTAACCTTTTTTTTTTTTTTTTTTTTACATGGGGAAATGCCTACGCATACCCGCCTCGCGGGGGCAAGGACGGGTTATGTCGGACTCGCACCGACTAAAACCCCATGGTGTTCCACCCTCGTCGCATATTGGCAGGGCCACGGGAAAGCTTTCGCACACTTCCGCGGCCCCACCTGCGCCGGCCACCCCATGGCGGCCCCTCCTCGGGAGAGGACCACTCCTCCCCCATCTCCTTCTCCGGTAAGGCGCACCAGAACACATGGCGCGCCCTCCTCCTCGGCCTCCAATTTCATATGCGCAACAGACGCCCCCGTGTCCGATGCGCGAAGGCCATGGGGCCAGGAAAAACTAGCACTAAGAAGCACCAGCCTTCCCGACCCCAGCGGCGGATCTGGTCTATGGCTCCGCCGCCAACCAAGATTCGGCTGCGGAGGGTAGGGAGAGCGGCGCCTCGCAATACCGACACTCCTCTCCCCCCGCAGCCCCACCACCACCGCATCATTCAACGGTGCGGCCCCGTCTGAGTCGCGGAGGATAGGGCGAGTGGCGCATCGCCATACCAACACTCCTCTTCCTCCGCGACTCCACCTCGGCTGCAGCGGTAGAGGGTTGCGGACTCCCCTCTCACCACAGCCCCCCGACACACATCCGAAGTGGGCTTCCCAAGCCCACTCGGAGTGGCCACCTCGGGCCGGCCCTACACCTCGGGCCAGCCAAGGGGTTCCTCTTCGTTCACCGTGGTTGACCAAGCCACGGCTACTAAGCCCCCCCGCCACGACAAGGCGGGAACCCGTTCGGGGGGGAACCTAACCTAACCTAACCTAACCTAACCTTTGCATCGTTCTGCTTCTAGCTGCGTGTTCCACCATGGTGTACAGGTTTTATATACATTCTTAGAGATAGTTGGTATGGATTTCTGGCAGGCTAATTTTACTTGTTTGACATATGAGTCCACGATATCATCCAATTCCTCTGGTGTATCTATGGTTTTTATTTTATTTTCTGTTACGTTCTCCTTTTCTAATTTTTCTTTAAGGTCGTTTCTGAAGAGAGACCAGTTTGCCTTGGCTGTATTAAATAAGCGAGTAGAATTTCTGAGCGCGACACTCTGTTTATCCGTTTTGACCTTCATTTGAAATTGTATGGCTCGATGATCAGATAGTGTAACAAAATTAGGGTCAACCCTCCATCTTTCCATTTTATGTAGGATTGCCGACGTACAGCAGGTCACATCCACTATGCTGCTATATAACTTTCCTCCTCGGTATTGGTAAAAAGTGGATTCACTGCCCTGATTTAAAACATTCATATCCAGTTCAGCTATCATTTCCGATAAAAGTAAACCCCTCTTGTCCTCCGCTCTGCTCCCCCACCAGAGACTCCTTGCATTAAAGTCGCCTGTTAGGATAACGTTTTCCGTAGCCATATCTTGCACAATTCTTGTTATCTTCTTTGTATCTTCTTCTATGTTACCGTCTTTCTCTAAATATACATTTATAATGCCTACTTCAAATTTTCCTATTTTAACTATAAACCCTACTATATTTTCGCTAACATGCTCTGGATTTTCTATGATTAAGTAAGTTGGATCAACAACGATGACTGCCGATTTAACCGGTTTATCTCTGTTACTAGTAGGTTTTTGAATTACGCGACGATTACAGGTTACATGTGCTTTTGCACCTACATATGGTTCTTGCAGTAGAAGTAACGCTATGCGTTGGCTTATTGCCATTTGAAGACATTCTTTAGACGCTGCCATTCCTCGGCCAAGGTTTACCTGTACTAATTTTATAGTTTGTGTATCTGCTAAGATTGAATTTGGTACATAATTTCCAGAGGAGTATCTACTTGACTGCGATTGATCGATGTTAATATCCTGATTTACCTTAGCAATATGCTACCGAGGACCTGGCTATGCGATCCCATTTCTTCCACACTAAACATTCATTGCTGTATGCTGGGTGGCTGAGATCACCTACAATTTTGTTCCTAGTGCAGTTTGCGCAAGTTGGTGCTCCATTGCTGCGTGGACATTCTCTGCTGTCGTGGTCCTCTGCACAATATCCGCAAGTTGATTTATCTGCCCTGCATTCTCTAGCCCTATGCCCAAAGCCCATACATCGGTAGCATTGCACAACGGGAGATTGGTCTAGGGCGGGTACTATTTGGTACCCCACATGCACTCTTTGGTCTTTCAGTGCTTTCCAGACCTCAGGGCTTACTTCTAATATTATATTGTTAATTGCCGCCGTTCGCCCCTTAATTCGTCTCAATACTTTAGTCTTTATATTTTCCATTTCTATGTGTTTTAGGAGCTTAATATTTTGGTTAACTAATGCTTCTTCTAGTTTTGTATTATTAAGATCATTAGCTACTCCTATTAATTTAAGCAGTGGGTTTTTGGCTGTTGACTTTGAGACTGTTAGCTTCTTGTCCGAGTTTCTAATTGCATTTTGAAGCTTTTCTCGGTCCTCGTCATTGTCGCATGATAGTAGCACCTTCTGATTTCTTACCCTTCTTATATTGTTAACCCCCACTCCAAGTTGTACCACGTCGATGTTGTTCTTTATTGTGTTGACAACATCTTCGCTCGTATGTCTGGGATCCGATGATTCAACAACAAGAGCAAATCGTGGTGAAGTAAGTGCTTCTGCATAAGATTTTATTTGGCGAGCGGCTTGTTGTTCTTTTATTACGACATTTTTGGGACTTTCTGTTGTTTTGTTCGTTATGTTGCTGCAGTTGCATGTCTCCAGATGATTAAGCTTGTCTCTGATTTCCGCAATTGCCAGCTCTGTGCCCAAACCTGAGTTGTTCTGAGACGCACTTTGGCTCACTCCGTAATCTCTTAATTCCTTTATGTCCTCAGTGATTTTGTCTATTCTAAATAACACTGGTTCTATGGCTGTTGATATACTATCTATAGATGTTGACTGTGGGGATGTTACATTCAGGGCTCGTGTTTGCATATCCTGGATTGTATGTTTGACATTGGATATGTTGCTGGCAATATCATCAATGCGAGGATCTTTCCATGAGTTCAGAGCCAGTGCAATGTGTTCAATACTTTCTTTATCCGCTACGTTATTTTTAAAGACGTTGATGTCAGAATCTAGTTCTTTAATCTTTTCCATGATGTCATTTACTTGATTTGCTATTGACGCCAATTCTTCACTATTATGTGTTTGCCCTTGCTTTAGGTGTTCATCAGCGATGCAAGTAGATGGTTCTTTACTTGTTTTGGTTGATATATTGGATGATACTCAGAGAACTTTTGGATGATACTCAGAAGAAGAATAAAATTTGCCAATGAGAGACGAAAACCGTACGTTATCCAGGATTTTGTAGAAGCAAAAGAAAAATATGTTAATAATATAATGACAGCAATAACTACGAGCTGGAAAGAACTATGCACTAAACAAGAAAAAGAAACTGTATGGCAAAGTATGTACAGAATAATAAAAAAATGTAGCGCATCTAACCAAGACAAACTGCTGAAATCAGGCGATGAAATTCTTAACGCTAATGACTCAGCAATGTTATTGGCAAAATCTTTTTACCCAGATGACGATAAAAACATAGATACTGAAGAACAAACCAGAATACGAGATAAAGCGGATAAAATAACTAAAGAACTTAGAAAAAGCACGACAATTTCTCATCGTAGTTTTACAGAGATAGAAATAGAGGCAGTTCTAGATAAAATGGACCCCAAAAAGGCGCCTGGCGAAGATGGCACTACGTCAGATATTTGCTATCAGTCATATAAGACCATGCCTTCAACACTAATGGCTATCTACAACAAGAGTCTCGAAATAGGTTATTTCCCAAAGATCTGGAAAAATGCCATAATAAAAATAATTCCAAAACCGAACAGAGAGGACTACACAGTTCCCAAAGCTTACCGCCCTATTGGCTTACTTCCTATATTTGGAAAGATATTAGAGAAACTTTTTGTAACCAGGCTTCTTTGGCAATTGGGAAAAGAGGGTAAACTTAACAGCCGACAATACGGGTTCATGCCGCAACGTAGTACAGAAGACGCCTTGTACGACGCTATCTCCTTTATAAAACAGGGGATCAAGGAAAAAAAAAAGATTGTTGTTGTGGTATCCCTCGATATAGAAGGGGCATTTGACAATGCATGGTGGCCTCAAATAATAAATGAAATGCATAGAAAACAAGTGAGTCAAGATATTCTGAGACTGATTACTAGTTACCTATCTTCGAGGAATATCACGCTAAAATATGCAGGTGCAGTAGTTACCAAATCTACCACCAAGGGGTGTATTCAGGGATCTACTTGCGGGCCTATACTTTGGAATATTCTCCTGGATCCCCTTCTCGAAAGTACATCACATCTGAAGGTACACGTTCAGGCGTTTGCCGACGATATACTTGTGATCGCAAAAGGCCACTCAGCCAAAGCAATTGAAGAAGAACTGAATCCAGCCTTGGACCACATAGTGTCATGGGGGAAAACACATAAGCTAAAATTTGCACCACAGAAAACACAGGCAGTAATAATTACTAAAAAACTATCTCCCGAATTGCCGCAAATAAAAATGGGGAATGTTTATGTCCAACCATCAGCGAGTGTAAAGATACTTGGAGTCACAATTGATAAAAATCGTAAGTATCGCCTTTGAAATAATTACCTCAGAAGAAGAAGAAAAAATTACTGATTCCCAACAACCAAAATTATACACAGACGGAGGCAAAATTCAAGGTAAAGTTGGAGGAGCTGTAACAGTATGGAAAAAAAAACCATCGGGAAGTACGGAAATCGACATTCAGGCTGGAAAATTACTGCAGTGTCTATCAAGCTGAACTCACGGCAATCTTAAGAGCATTGGAACTGATGCACAAACACAAAGACCTAAGGAAAGGCATCATCTTAAGTGATTCACGCTCTGCCTTAGAATGCCTGAGCGATACATCGTCTCTGCATCCATTAGCTGTAGAAATACGAGATCGAATAAAGTCACTATTAGACAAAGGAGGCGAGGTTAACCTTTGCTGGATCAAAGCACACATCGGCATAGCCGGTAATGAAAGAGCCGATTAACTGGCGAAATATGCTGCGCTTTCGAACAAGCAAACTCCAGTATACGATAAATTCCCCCTGTCCTTCGCAAAGAGACTTGCCCGGGACTCTACTTGCGTAGAGTGGCAGTTACGATACAGTGAAGCTACTACGGGAGCTGTAACAAAGAAATTCCTACCGGACATAAAAGAAGCATATAAAACACTCAAGCATATAAAAATAGACAATTTAAAAGTACAACTACTAACAGGTCATGGAGGTTTTAAGGCTTATTTATATAAATATAAGCTAGCTCAGTCTCCATCTTGTGTTTGCAGTAACGATGAAGAAGAAAATATCGAACATTTATTAATAGACTGCCCTAGATTCGCCATACAAAGACTTGAATGTGAACAAAAGATGGGGATGATGCTTACAGTTTATAATTTAAGGCATGCAATCAACAACGATGACTGTCGGACCCATTTCCTTAAGTTTTCAGAAGCAGTGGTACGCACTGCGGGTAAGGCTAATGGATCCAAATTAGTTTAAGTTATAATATTAGATGATAAGCCTTATATGGTTGGAGTAACAAAATGTTCAATTAAGAGATAAATGGAAGATTTTGTTCTTTCAAAGTATTATTTATTATATAAATCAAAAGAATTATTAATAAAATGGCCTATACCACTCAAAAAAAAAAAAGAATATATTATAGAAAAAATAAAGTACAAAAAAAATCTGTAAAAAGAAAAAAGGGGGAAAAAAGAGAAAGAAAAAAAAAGAAATAAAAAAGAAAAGAAAAAAAGAGAAATCAAAAAAAAAAGCAAACTAATAATAATTAAAAAAAAAATGGGTGGCGCCCTCTGTACTCTCTAATAATCTAAGTTAAGTACACTACTTTATTTTAACTTTAGAGGTAAGTAAACTTCAGTTTGGATTATAGACAACACTGTAAGAATGAAAGTAGAAAAAGAAAAAAAAAATAGTAAAATAGTAAAATTTTAAGCTACTATCAATAGTTATAACTATATAAGAGTAAAATCAATGTATAAAAAAAAGATAATGTTGAATACAGTTAAAATAATACCATAGTTAAATCTTAAGTAATAAAGGAATAGTTAGAATAGTTAGTTCTTGTAAGAAAAATAATTATACATAATATATATATATATATATATATATATTCAATTAATTAAAAAAAAAAAAAAAAATACACATTAGTAAAAAAGGATGCTGCATGTATAGCAGCAGTTTTATAAAAAAAAAAAAAAACCATACCTAACCTTTTTTTTTTTTTTTTTTTACATGGGGAAATGCCTACGCATACCCGCCTCGCGGGGGCAAGGACGGGTTATGTCGGACTCGCACCGACTAAAACCCCATAGTGTTCCACACTCGTCGCATATTGGCAGGGCCACGGGAACGCTTTCGCACACTTCCGCGGCCCCACCTGCGCCGGCCACCCCATGGCGGCCCCTCCTCGGGAGAGGACCACTCCTCCCCCATCTCCTTCTCCGGTAAGGCGCACCAGAACACATGGCGCGCCCTCCTCCTCGGCCTCCAATTTCATATGCGCAACAGACGACCCCGTGTCCGATGCGCGAAGGCCATGGGGCCAGGAAAAACTAGCACTAAGAAGCACCAGCCTTCCCGACCCCAGCGGCGGATCTGGTCTATGGCTCCGCCGCCAACCAAGATTCGGCTGCGGAGGGTAGGGAGAGCGGCGTCTCGCAATACCGACACTCCTCTCCCCCCGCAGCCCCACCACCACCGCATCATTCAACGGTGCGGCCCCGTCTGAGTCGCGGAGGATAGGGCGAGTGGCGCATCGCCATACCAACACTCCTCTTCCTCCGCGACTCCACCTCGGCTGCAGCGGTAGAGGGTTGCGGACTCCCCTCTCACCACAGCCCCCCGACACACATCCGAAGTGGGCTTCCCAAGCCCACTCGGAGTGGCCACCTCGGGCCGGCCCTACACCTCGGGCCAGCCAAGGGGTTCCTCTTCGTTCACCGTGGTTGACCAAGCCACGGCTACTAAGCCCCCCCGCCACGACAAGGCGGGAACCCGTTCGGGGGGGAACCTTACCTAACCTAACCTAACCTAACCTTTTTTTTTTTTTTTTTTTTTTTTTTTTTTTTTTTTTTTTTTTTTTACATGGGGAAATGCCTACGCATACCCGCCTCGCGGGGGCAAGGACGGGTTATGTCGGACTCGCACCGACTAAAACCCCATGGTGTTCCAACCTCGTCGCATATTGGCAGGGCCACGGGAACGCTTTCGCACACTTCCGCGGCCCCACCTGCGCTGGCCGCCCCATGGCGGCCCCTCCTCGGGAGAGAACCACTCCTCCCCCATCTCCCTCTCAGGTAAGGCGCACCAGAACACATGGCGCGCCCTCCTCCTCGGCCTCCAATTTCACATGCGCAACGGACGCCCCCGTGTCCGATGCGCGAAGGCCATGGGGCCAGGAAAAACTAGCACTCAGAAGCACCAGCCTTCCTGACCCCAGCGGCGGATCTGGTCTATGGCTCCGCCGCCAACCAAGATTCGGCTGCGGAGGGTAGGGAGAGCGGCGCCTCGCAATACCGACACTCCTCTCCCCCCGCAGCCCCACCACCACCGCATCACTCAACGGTGCGGCCCCGTCTGAGTCGCGGAGGATAGGGCGAGTGGCGCATCGCCATACCAGCACGCCTCCTCCTCCGCGACTCCACCTCGGCTGCAGCGAAAGAGGGAGCGGACACCCCTCTCGCAGCATCCCACCGACACACATCCGAAGTGGGCTTCCCAAGCCCACTCGGAGTGGCCACCTCGGGCCGGCCCTACACCACGGGCCAGCCAAGGGGTTCCTCTTTGTTCACCGTGGTTGACCAAGCCACGGCTACTAAGCCCCCCCGCCACGACAAGGCGGGAACCCGTTCGGGGGGGAACCTAACCTAACCTAACCTAACCTAACCTAACCAGTTGCACTCCAAACGCCGTGCCGTACGCAGCATTTTTATAACGCTCCGCGCTCGAAAATTCAAAGTGTCGGGTCAAAGTGCACCAATTTTAAAGTGTGATACACCATTAGACGCGTCTCGTCGAGACGAACAAAGTTATATAATAAAAAAGTTATAAAAGTTTTATAGTTTAAAAGTTATCGACAAAAAACTGATTTTGAACTGACGGCATATATATTTATAGACTCTATTTAAAAGAGGAACTTTAGTTTTAACTTATTGTATAAAAATTTTTAAATTTGGAGTGAATTTAGTAATATTAAAAAATTTTATAAAATTTAGGTCCAAACACGTGGTGGCTGAAGGACCCTCGGGACATTCCTGAAAATATTGTCAGAAATTTTGTTATCATACATACTATATTCCAAAATTTTTTCAAAATTGTCCCGACATAATTACAAGATTTAGAGCCTTTTTGCGGTTGTTGGTTTTCGTAACACAATTTTCAAAATTTAAAAAACCAAAAATTTTTCAGGACCCCAAATTTCTAAATTATATATTATTAAAGAACAATTAACGCTCTATATACGCTATTTTTTTCGGAATTTTTGGACAAGCCGTTTTTAAGTTATTAATTTATTTGTGTGAGCTGGGAGGTCCTGCAAACCGCACAAAAACTTGTTTTTCAGTTTTCAGGAGAACGGAGACTCCTAGCTCAATTCTGACAATTTTGTTCGGGTCCCCCACCCTAACCCCCCCTAACACCGTTCACCGTGGGTGACCAAGCCACGGCTACTAAGCCCCCCCGCCACGACAAGGCGGGAACCCGTTCGGGGGGGAACCTAACCTAACCTAACCTAACCTAACCTTTTTTTTTTTTTTTTTTTTTACGGGGGGAAATCCTCATGGACTACCTCCGCCTGGGGAAAGGCGGAGGGGCGTGCCGGACTCTTACCGGCTAAAACCACCCCGGTGTCAACTCACACGTGCGCGTGGGGCCGCGGGAATCCAAATTCTTCCGCAGCCCCACACTAGTGCTGGCCCGGTCCGTCCAGGCCTCGTCTCCTGCACGGGGTAGTGAGGTGTTAAACTACCCCGTGTATCGCCTCAGGGGCGCGCACCGACACCCGCGCGCGCCTCCGCCTCGGGTCCATCGAGTAGGGGTGGCGGGGGCTTCCCCAAGTCCCTCGCCCCTGGACCCATTTATGGGGGCCGGAAAAGGGCGTTGTCCGCCCTTCTCCTGCGCCCGGTGCGCCTTCTGCGGCCAGGAAAGGGAGTCGAGATCTCCCTTTCCCGTTCCGCAGTTTCCTTCTGCGACATCACGTCCTCGCAGAAGGACACCACTGCATCCCACGACTCTGCGCTACCGACCATCTTCTGCACTAAGGCCGGCAGCGACAGATCGCCTCCTACTTTATTTGTGAGGACACGGCGCTGCTCCTCCCAAGCTACACACTCGGCGAGCGTGTGTTGCGCCGTGTCCTCCCCGCAATGGACGCAGTGGTGACACCGAGCGTCCGGCTCCCTGTCTATGCGGCGCAGGTACTTGCCGAAGCAGCCATGCCCCGACAGCACCTGCGTCACCCTAAACGACAGGGAGCCGTGCCTTCTCCCGAGCCAGTCGTCGAGTACTGGCCGGATCGCCTCGACGGTAGCGAGGCCGGCGGTAGGGCGC